AATTTCAATAGCAAGGTGATAAATCTATTAAGTTTGATAGGTTAAAGATAAACTTGGTGTTTCTGAGAGGACCATTAACGCTTTTTTCGGAGGTTTCTAAATAGACAATTTCTATAATGAAAAAGAATGAATAATTATACACAACATGTACTATATTCTTAACTTTATACAAAACATATACTATTTATAACTAATTAGACTTAATGAATCTCTCTAATAATAATAAACTCTTTAGTAATTTAAAAACATATATGAACAAAGTAATGGATTCATAGTATAATCTTCTAATTATTTTTCTATGTAATTCTAATTTTTTATAATGAATCTCAGTAACAAACAAAGAAACAAGAATGTCTTAAATTTTTTTTTTGTATATATAACTCTTAGAAACTAAAACACCAATGTTTGTCTTTGGAATATAAAAGTTGCTTGACATTGAAATATCAACTTACCCATGACCCTCTTCAACCTAGAAGCCAACATTTTGGAAATAATTCTATATAAACTTTCAACCAATACCATTATTCACTTATTATGGTGAAAAATAAATTGTGGTTTATTCGCGGTGCAACGACCCTAATTATTATCACATCATATGTACCGACCGAAATCACAAAAGTTTTTACGTGACCGATGATTTAAAACCTTAATCATCATTTTCATAGGTTAAGCTAAAAAGGAATGGCTTTTTTATGTGCATAATTTTCTACATGTTCTGCTATTTGTAAGTTTAATAAAAACTGCTATGTTTTACAGGCTAGAGAAAGACATAAGGGTTAGCTACTCGTTAACAAGAGTCTGTAAACTTTTATGCGAGTAAATCAATAAAGTTTCTCTATGAGTAAATACTCAAATAACTTATAACCATCAAATTGTCCAATTTAGGTTCTTAATTTGGTGCTTCACTTTTGTTGGTTTACCATAGGTTACGCTATTTGCAGTGCATTTCACAGGCTGCGTGTATTTTTGGTTGGCTTACCATCACGAATCACCCGAAAATACATGGATTTTAAGCAAAGGAGCGTGGGGTCAGGATACACTTACTCCATGTACTGGTCTATTGTAACCCTTACTACCGTTGGCTATGGAGATTTGCATGCAGAAGGTTTTCAATATATTTTATATGTTGTTTAACATCGGCCTCATTGCATATATTATCGGAAACATCGGCCAGTAAGATTGAAGGAACAAATGTTGGCATAGAATCTTACCACCCAATGACAGGAAATAAGGACTCGAATGATGGTAAATACTGAAAAAGAAGATGAATCTAAATGCGAAAGTTTGAAGGCATAGAATGGTTACCGGAGAAGCGAGAAATGGAAAGAAAGAGTGTTGGTGCCTTCGTTTGTTGAAAACGACGTCGTAACAACACCACCAAAACGCAACTCTGCCTGCTATGAATGTGAAGAGTCAATGAAGTTTGAGCAATTGTCGTCTTCGAGCACCAAAATGCAAACGCGACAATGTCGTCTTCGAGTATTGTAACTCCGCCTGCTATGAATGTGAAGAGTCAAGGAAGGTTGGTTTTGTGTGGTCTACTGTTTTGATCTAACGGTTGGAATTAGGGGTTGATGATATGATCGTACGGTGAGGATTTCCGGATCATTATAGTTTGTGTGATTCTGGGCCATTACCGGGTCTTTATAGTTTTTACATCGGTGCATTTCTTGGCCCGATGCAAGTTTTTACATCGGTGATTTCCTTGGGACGACGCAAGGTTCTGGCACTGATGTTTTTTACATCGGTTTTCAGGATGGCCCGATGTAAGCTTTTTAATATATTTTTTATATTAACAATCTGCCAACGAATTTTTACATCGGTTTTCAGAAAGACCGATGTAAGCTACTTTTTACATCGGTTTTCAGGATGGCCCGATGTAAGCTTTTTAATATATTTTTTATATTAACAATCTGCCAAGGACTTTTTACATCGGTTTTCAGAAAGACCGATGTAAGCTACTTTTTTACACCGGTTTAAAGGATGGCCCGATGTAATATCTGGCCAGTTTTTTATATACAATATTTCTACCACCTGGTTTATTATTTACAAAAATGCCACCGTGTTTTTTTCACGAAACCTTTTACATCGGATGATTAAATGGACCGATGTAAAAGATAGAGAAAATACATTTTTTCACATTATTTATATCATTGCAAATAAATACCTGATGTAAAATGTTTTAATTTTATTTTTTACATCATATATTTTGATACTTGGCGTAAAAACCTTTTCTCAAATGTCATTTTTTTAGTAGTGCTTAATTTAGATTTTCTATCAGAAGCTAACAACATCAATTTCATCTCTCAAGCGAAGAAATTGGTCTGTCTTAATTGCCTTCGTCAGAAGATCTGCTAACTGTTTCTGGGTGCTGCAGTGCAGAACTTCTAACACTCCTTTCTGCACTTGACTTTTGAGAAAATGATATTTCGTCTCAATGTGCTTGCTTCTTCCATGTAGCACTGGATTCTTGGCAAGATCAATTGCAGACTTATTATCAATCATCAGCTTCAGAGGTTCCTCAACTTCAACCTTCAGATCATGCAAGAGATTTAGAAGCCAAACAGCTTGACAAGCAGCTACAACACCTGCGATATACTCAGCTTCACATGTTGACAGAGCCACGACAAGCTGTTTCTTGGAACTCCAGGAAATGGGACCTCCCAGAAATTTAAACAAGTATCCAGAAGTACTTCTCCTGTCCACTCTGTCTCTACACCAGTCAGAATCAGAATAACTTACTAATTCTGATTATGTCTTTCTTTCAGAAGAAAACAACACTCCATATTTCAGAGTTCCCTTGATATATCTCAGAATTATGACAGCAACATGGAAATGAGACCACTTTAGATTACTCATGAATCTGCTAACAATCCAACTGCATAACAAATGTCAGGTCTAGTATTGCATAAATACCTTAGAGAATCAACCAACTGTTTGAAGGTTGTAGTATCAACAGAATCACCATCAGAGTCAGAATCCAATTTTTGATTGGTTTCTGATGGTGTCACAACAACTTTACATTTCTGCAGCTTAAATCTCTTCAGAAGTTCAAGTTCATACTTCAACTGATGTAGAAAGATACTCTTCTTTGAGTACAGAATCTCCATCCCTAGGAAATATGTCATATTTCCTAGATCTGTCATCTCGAACTCATTCGTCAGAACTTATTTGAACTTCTTTATATCTTCTGGGCAGCTTCCTGTTAGCAAAATATCATCAACATAGAGACACACCAGAATCCTATTGTAATCAGAGTGTTGCACATAAACGCCATATTCCATCTCACATTTCTATAACTTCTGCTTCTTGAAAAACAAATGAATTTTCAGATTCCAATCTCTGGGCGCTTGCTTCAGTCCATACAGAGCTTTATTCAACTTGTATACCATCCCTTCCTGATTTATTTTCACAAATCCAGGAGGTTGTAACACATAAACTTCTTCCTGTAGTGGACCGTTCAGAAATGCAGACTTCACATCTAGAGGCATCAAAGGCCAATTTCTATTTGCAGCTAAAGCAATCACCAATCTGATTGTTTCATGCCTAACTACAGGCGCAAACACCTCAAAGTAATCTAGCCCAGATTTCTGAAGAAAACCTATAACTACTAGTCTAGCTGTGTGCTTGCCAATTGAACCATCTAGCTTAAGCTTTAACTTAAAAACCCATTTGACACTGATGGCTTTTTTTTTTACCTTGATTTATTTTTTAGCTCTTCATCACACACGTGAGCAGTGGCATGACTTGCATGTAGGGGAAGTAGTGACATGTTCTTTGGGCCTCCATAAAATCTTTGAGATGTGGCATGAGCTAGCAGGTCTGATTGGAGCATGTGCCGAAGAATGTGCTTCAAAATCCTAACAATGGAAACAACACTCCCTTGAACATTAACTTTTGCAACCTTTTGGTGAATTTAAGATTTTAGAAAAGAAAAGAATTCGGTGAAATTTTTAATAGTGAGGAGTTTTTCTCTCAAAGTACATGTTTGTTTTTCTTGTTTCTCTACTTTTTCTCTCTATCCCTTCATGTTTTTCTATTTCACTCCTTAAAAAAATTAGACTTTTACTTTTTATTCACTTCTCTACTGTCTTTTGTTTTTTCAACTTTTTTTCCTATTATTAAAAAAATTAATTTAATAAATAATTCTCAGTAATTAATAATAACAATAATAGTAATAATAATAACTAATAATGATAAAAAAAATCATAAAAATACAATAAAATTGAAATAATAATATAAATACTAATTTTATTTATTTTGGGGTGATGGCATCTACCTTAGTTGTTAGCTACCTTGGTTACTCCCAAATTTATATCGAAACAGTACAAAAACAACTATTCAAATTTAGATCGAAACAAAGGTTAGTACTACTCTAATTTACCGAATTTTGATTTACCTTCTTGTAAATAAAAAATTGGATTATCCCTCTCAAATTAATTTTATTATTTGGTTTATCTCTCCAAGTGTATAAATTAAACACTAAATTTGGAGTAAATAAAAAAATTTTATATGGTGGTCATTTTTACACTTAGAGGACAAAAAAACATAAAATTTTAATATTTTAAAGAAATGATCTAATTTTTTTTCTTACATGGAATAAATCAAAATTCACCTAAATAATATATTGCAGGGGATATTGTGTATAATGTAATACTAGTATTACATTAAGATGTAGATGTTGTTTGCATATTCCTGGCTACATCTGTTTGAGAATACTGCATTAGATGTTAATTATATTGCCATTATAAAAAGGTGTTAATTATAGTTATTTTTAAAGTGGGTGGATAAGCCAAACTAGTAGATTTATTATATTATTATTAATATTTGTTTTTATAGAGGATGATATCATCGTCCAATAATACAAGAAACACATTTAAATTATTTGTATTTAAAAATTATTTAGATATGGTGATGATGGACCTATAAATACCCTTCACATTTGGATGGAAAAATGCAAGATCTTCAAATTGAAGTGTTCTCTTTTGAAGCAAAATATAATGGCTAATAACTTTTTCCTTTTATTTGTATTTGTTTTTGCTAGTCAAGTGATTGGCGGATTGAATACAAAGCTACCACCTCCTTCCTATGGAAATACAGTAAGCATTCTTAGTATTGATGGAGGTGGGATTAAGGGAATTCTTCCAACTGTTATTCTTGAGTACTTGGAAAATGCTCTTCAGGTCAATCATTAAATTTTTCTTATGATTAAAACTCAATATTAAACAGATTCATGAAGTATAATATAATGAATAATTTTGATTTGGTTGATCAGAGTGTGTCAAGAGATGAAAAGGCAGCACTAGCAGACTATTTTGATGTGATAGCAGGAACAAGTACAGGAGGAATCATTACTGGATTGCTAACTACTCCTAACCCTAATGACACTTCACGTCCTTTATTTACTACTAAACAAATCTTACAATTCTACTTGGAATTTGGTCCTTCTATATTCAACCAAACTTATGCTATGTAATTATTCATTCATCTTAAAACACAAGAATGATATTTAGATTTCAGTAACATTATTTTTAATATGTTTTCTTTTTCTACTAAAAAATGCATGCAGTGGTTGGGATAATGATACTCCACATGCCAAGTTTGACGGCAAGTTCTTACATGAAAAGGCACATGAGCTTTTGCAAGAAACACGTCTGCATGATACATTGACCAATGTTGTAATTCCAACCTTTGATACCGTTGATTTACACCCAGTTATCTTCTCAAGCTTTAAGGTCAGCATTTTTGCATAACCATACTTAAATATTTTGGGACTTTTTGTGTGTAAAACTTTGTTTGTGCATGCAGCTAAAGACTGTTCCTAGCCTTGATGCAAAACTTTCTGATATATGTATTGGGACTTCAGCTTTCCCATCCCAACTACCACCGTATGCCTTTAAGAATGGTGATAAGGAATTCAATCTAGTTGATGGGGCTCTCACTGCAGCTGGCCCGGTAAATTCTTCTTGACTTTCAGCATAAGGAGCCTCATTCTCCTTGGATAAACATTCCCATTGGAAATGTCGCAGCTTGTGGCATTTGTAGCATTCTACGGTTGATCGATCACGACTTTGTCTACCACGACCTCTACCTCGAGCTCCACGACCACGTCCCCGACCTCCAAAAGTAACACTCTTATGAAAATCAATGGTTCCTTGATTCAGGATGCAGCAATCACATGTGTGGTATGAAATCATCTTTCTCTGATCTTGATGAAAATTATCGTGACTCGGTTAAATTGGGGAACAATACTTCTATGGCTGTACTGGGCATGGGCAATATTTGCAAGTAAATGGTAGGGTGCATATCATTACTGGAGTTTTCTTTGTGCCTGAATTGAAGAACAACTTACTAAGCATTGGACAACTGCAAGCCAAAAACCTAACTATCATGTTTGAAGGTGGAAAATGCAAAGTATTTCATCCTGAAATAGGTCTCCTCATGGAAACAAAGATGGCTGCCAATCGAATGTTTATTCTAAATGCCGTGGCTCAACCTAAGTCTTCTACATGTTTTAACACTGTTACTGAGGATGAATGGTATCTTTGGCATTGTCGGTACGGACATTTCGGTTTCAAGGGACTCCAAACTCTTGTTCAGAAAAAGATGGTGACTGCACTGCCCCACTTGAAGTATTCAACAAAGACATGCAAAGATTGTTTGGTTGGGAAGCAACATAGAGAGTCTTTCCCATCACATAGTACATGGAGAGCAGATCACATTCTACAATTGATTCACGCTGACATTTGTGGGCCAATTAAACCAGAATCCAACAGTGGAAAAAGGTATTTTCTCACTTTAACCGATGATTTCAGCCGCAAAACATGGGTTTATTTCTTGACTGCAAAATCAGAAGCTCTAGGTGTTTTCAAAAGTTTCCAGATTCACATTGAGAAACAAACTAGTCATGCTGTCAAAGGCCTACGCACAGATCGAGGAGGAGAGTTTACTTCTCACGAATTCATGCAACATTGTGCAGAGCATGGTATCCAACACCAATTGACAGCCGCATATTCTCCACAACAGAACGGCATTGCTGAAAGAAAGAATCGAACTATAATGAATCTTACTCGAAGCATGCTGTCCAACAAACAAATTCCTCGCACTTTTTGGCCGGAAGCTGTCAATTGGACTGTGCACATCTTAAATCGCAGTCCTACTCTTGCTGTAAGAAATAAAACCCCGGAAGAAGCCTGGAGTGGCATCAAACCTTCAGTTGAGTATTTTCGGGTTTTTGGTTGCATTGGCCATGTTCATGTTCCTGATGCTAAGCGAACCAAACTCGATAACAAGAGTTTTCCTTGTGTTTTACTTGGCGTCAGTGATGTATCCAAAGCATACCGACTATATGATCCAGTTTCCAAACGAATCATCATTAGTAGGGATGTCGTCTTTGAAGAAGATAAGGCTTGGAATTGGCACACCAATTCTGAATCTTCCACGACGTATGAGTTAGAGTGGGAAGAAGAGAAAGATGTTGGCAGCAGCAGTTCTGAAATACCTGAGGCTGAAAATGCTGATCAAGTCGCTGACCATGATGAGCCTGAGCATCATACATCAGCCCCAGTTGATGCATCAACACGTTATCCAGTACGAGACCGCCGACAACCATATTGGATGAATGATTATGTTACTGGTGAAGATCTTTCCAATGAAGAACTTGTTGATTCTTTCTCTAACTTAGCCTTGTTTACGTGTGATGGTGATCCTACTTCTTTTGAGGAGGCTGTTAAAAGTGTCAAATGGCAGCAGGCAATGGATACTGAAATGGAATCCATAAAAAGGAATAATACGTGGGAATTGGTAGATTTGCCTAGTGGTGGAAAGATTGTTGGTCTCAAGTGGATTTACAAGACCAAGTACAATGAAGTTGGTCAGATTGACAAATACAAGGCCCGATTAGTAGCAAAAGGGTATACACAGCAACACGGCATCGACTATAATAAAGTGTTCGCTCCTGTAGCACGAATGGAAACCATTCGTCTAATTCTAGCATCTGCAGCACATTACAGTTGGCCTCTCTACCAACTTGATGTCAAGTCAGCATTTTTGTATGGCGAACTAGCAGAAGAGGTGTTTGTGGAACAGCCGTGTGGATATGTCAAGAAGGGGAATGAAGACAAGGTATACCGACTAAAGAAATCTCTTTATGGCCTGAAGCAGGCCCCGCGAGCATGGTATAGTCGGATAGAGACATATTTTCTGAAGATGGGATTTAAAAAGTGTGATTATGAACACACTCTATTCATCAAAACAGACCAGGGAGGCAAGATCTTAATTGTGAGTATGTATGTTGATGATCTCATCTATACCGATAATGATCCTTTAATGTTCACTTCTTTTATGAGTTCTATGAAGCAAGAATTTGATATGACAGATCTCGGTAAGATGCGATATTTCCTTGGTATTGAAATTCTGCAATTGCACAACAGTATTTTTATATCTCAAAAGAAATATGCTTTGGAGGTATTAAAACGCTTTGGCATGAATGACTCGAATTCTGTGCAAAATCCTATAGTACCAGGAATGAAGACCACAAAAGAAATTGGCAGTGATGAGAGGGTGAACAAGTCACATTATAAGCAACTTATTGGATGCCTCATGTATCTAACAACTGCTACACGGCCTGATTTGTCATACGTTGTCAGTCTCCTTAGCCGTTACATGGAGAATCCTTCGGTGAAACATATGTTGGTAGCAAAACGGGTATTACGCTATTTAAAGGGAACTGCTGATTTTGGAATTCTTTACAAAAAGGGTGGAGTAAATGAACTTGTGGCATACACAGACAGCGATTATGCAGGTGACGTAGATGATCGGAAAAGCACTTCCGGCTATGTTTTCATGCTTAGCTCTGGAGCAGTTTCATGGTGCTCAAAGAAACAACCTGTGGTTAGCTTATCCACCACAGAAGCTGAATTTATAGCTGCTGCTTCTTGTGCTTGTCAAGCAGTGTGGTTACAAAGGATACTATCAAATTTAAATCAGATTTCTGAGAGTAAAGGCATATCGGTTAACTGCGACAACAGTTCTACTATTAAGCTGTCTAAAAACCCAGTTTTGCATGGCCGCAGTAAACATATTGATGTCAGATTTCATTTTCTTCGCGAGATGTCCAAAGAAGGAATTGTAAGTTTGATTTATTGTGCTAGTCAAGAACAATTAGCAGATCTTATGACCAAACCATTGAAGCTGGGAGTATTCTTGAAGTTGTGAAAGTCTCTTGGTGTTTGCTCTGAAATTGAAGTAAACTGCAAACCAGAAGTTAAAATGAGAAGTTGCAGTTTATGTTAAGAAACAAGATACATATATGGAATAAGGTTTGAAGCAAAGAAGATTGATCTTATTGTTGAGAAGTAATGGCTATTATATAGCCTTACATCAGTTACAGGAAGAGGAAAAATACCACGTAACCACTACTCCTACAAATATGGAATGAAAGCTAACTTAAAGGAAAATAAAGCTAACAGACCAATTGAATAGGTCTTTTATTAACATCAAAGAAACCACCCACTAAACCCACTAACAACTAGTAATACGTGTTAACTTCTGTCCTCAACATCCTCCCTTAAACTGTGAAGATTCAGAATTGGTGTGCCAATTCCAAGCCTTATCTTCTTCAAAGACGACATCCCTACTGTTGTACCCCAAAATTTTCCCTCCCATTTCTCATTGATTTCTCATCACAAAGCCCTTGAAGCTCAAGATCCAGTTAGGGTTGCATCTGCTCAAGACTCCTCCTTGCACTGCTAACCCCAAATTAGGGTTTGTGTTTGCACAAAGATGTTTTGACCCAAAATGCCTAAGATGACTTTCTTGCTTCATATTGGCCTCCCAAGTTTATCCATACCAAGTTTCAAGTCCTGATTCCAAATTTTGCCCAGTCAATTGGACAGTTGACCTATAAATCAACTGTATTGGGGAAAAAGTCAACTGTGGCCAATTGACAGTCAAATCTCATGAAATTTGATCCACATCAACATTATGAACTCATATGGACCATTTGATCAAGTTTGGATCACAAATCCACAAGAAATTTGATCAGATCATCAAAAGGGCAAAATGGTCATTTTTAGGGTTTTGACTATGCAAAGGCAATTTTTGAGTGTTTGACCTAGCCAATGGCAAACCAAGCTCACATATGGACTCAAAGACCCCATGAAATTATCTTGACATGCTCAACAAGCTCAAAAGATCCCAAGTACACAAGATTGACAGTTGAATTTCCCAATCAATTGATCAATTTTGACTGTATACTGAAAAGTCAAACTTTGACTTTTTGGTCAAAATCAAGAGTCAAGATTCATTTTTCATCAAAATATGCCAAATCATGAAACTTGTTCACCAAGAAATCATAAATTGCAAATTAGGGTTAGAAAATGGAATTTTTTATAACTTAGAATTTTTCTAAGTTATGAAAAACCCTAATTGTTTCCCAACTTTGCCCCACCTTTTCACCAAGATCCATTTGGATTCAAACAAAAGTCAAAACATGAAAGTTGTAGCTTGTTGCATAATCTACAACTTTGATTCACAAAGTTTTCTCATTTGAAGCTTGTATCTCAAGTTACAATTTTTTGAATAAGGGCACTAAACCATTTTTAACTTAGTAGAATTTTAACCTATTTTGACAAGGTTTTCTACCCCACTTCAAGGCCATTTTCCATACACTTCCACTTGGAATTTCAATTTTCATTTCAAAGATGGATTGTAGTACACATTCCAAGATTTCCAAAATGTCCAAGAACTTCTCAAACAACCTCATGGTTAGAGAGAATCGAATTTCACAATATAGCAAAAAACCACTTTGTTCATGACCAAGTTCCATGTTCATAATCTTGCAATTTGAACTCAGCTTGTTTTAGGCTAGATTACAGGTCCTTAAACCAAGTTACACTCAAGAATTAAATGCAAAACCAATGTGCCAAGTTGTTATTCTAAGCATTTGGACATTACATGATGAACTAACC